CCTGACCTCGAGAGCGATCTCGCTCGCCTCAGCCTCAAATTGCGTAGGATGACAGCATGAGCCACCCGACGCCGGCCGGCCAAAAATGTGTTTAATATTAAAAACTAGATGGGTGAATCTTTCTAATTTAATCCTGGAGTAATTTATCTTCATTACAAGTCCCTCGATCCAAACCGATCACAAACCTGTTTATGCGGAGTGTGGCCAAACGCGCAGCGTCCCGGAGTTGGATCTGTCGAAGGCGGTGGAAGTGGTGTGACTGCTGCAGCGAGCGCGCCGGTGAGTGTAGACACCTTTCCCCAGCCAGAATTCCCGAAAGATACCTCAGCAACGTGTAAAGGAGGGCGTTAGAAAAGACCACATGATTGTCAAGAGATATACAGATCTTTTCCATTCATTATCTTCTAGAGCTTTCTTTATCAACACCGGTCATTTTTATATTAAAAGTACCACGGTAAGTCAATGAGCAAGAATTCTGACAGTGAAGTTTCTATGAAAGGGCAGGATTGGGAACTGGAGGCTTTCTGATCTCCCCATCCTTAATTTAATTTAATTTTATTTTTTTTAAGACAGAGTCTCTCACTTTGTTGCCCAGGCTAGAAGTTGCCATGGCATCAGCCTTAGCTCACAGGCCAACCTCAACTCCTGAGGCTCAAGCGATTCCTTCTGGCCTCAGCCCCCGAGTAGCTGGGACGAGCGAGACATCGTGCCACCGTGCCTTTTGGCTAATTTTTTCTCCTCTATATTTTTTAGTTGGCGCAATTGAGAGTGTGTGCTTTCGATACATATATTTAGGTGTGGAGACGGGGGTGCGGTCACTGTTGCTCAGGCTGTCTCTCGAGACTCGTCTGACCATTGAGGTGAGTCCTCCCGCCTCGGCCTCCCGAGAGTGCTAGATTAGCAGCGTGAGCCACCGGCGCCCGGGCATCTCCAGTTGCTATAAATATCTTTTTCTTTTTTTCAAAATGAATCTGCTTTTTTTAATTTCTATGACTTACGTGCAACTTTAGGCAGTGATCCAAATCTAGGATTAGCTGCTAAGTAACCTGTGGAGTAATAGATAAAAACATTATTATTGCATGTCATAACTCATTTAAACTTACACAGTATAAAGAAATCTTCAAAATTTAAGACATAAAATTTCTTAGACATATACGTATTCAGAATCCAAAGAGGTGATCTTAAAAGAGTTATGATTCAATTCTTGGTTGAATTTCATTCCCATTTGCCCTAATAGCCATTTTAGGCAAATAGCAGATATCAGCTTTAATGTATAGAAAATGAAAATGGAACAGACGATTGGAGACTGATTTAAAGATACCAAGCAAATGTGGATCTGGACAACTGAGTTCAAAGAAATTGGTCATCACTCATCACCCTCTCCTCTTTTTAAGTAAAATAACAACGAAAGTTTCCATTTAGAGATTTACAGTATATATCATGATTTGGAAGTGGAAATATTACAACTTGTGGTGGGCAGAATCATGGCCTCCTAAAGATGTCCACATCCTAATTCCCGGAAAATCGGAATATATTATGTTATATAAAAGGGAATTAAGGTAGAAAATGGAGTTAAGGTTGCTGATCAGATAATTCTAAAATAGGGAAAGTGTCTCGGACGATCCAAGTGAGCCTAATGTAACCACGATCCTTGAATGTGGAGAGGGAATTCGAGCGTTGAGAGATGGCACATGAGAAGCACTTAGCTCGATGCCACTAACTCTGAAGACAGAGGAAGGGGCCAAGGAATGTTGGTGGCCTCTAGAATTTGGAAAGGGAGAGCAATGCTGAGAGTATTTAAAAGAAACACAGCCAGGCTGGTGCTTTGATGTTAAGCTCAGTGACACCCATTTCAGACTTCTGGCCTCCAGAATTCTAAGATAATAAATCTGTGCTGTTCTAAGCCACAATGTTTGTGGCAATTTGTGACAGCAGCCATAGAAAACGAATAGACAACCCTGAAAAAATACATCTGCACAGATGCAAGAGATGGTAGATGTCTTGGTCCGTTTTCTGCTGCTATGTCAGAATACCACAGACTGGGTAATTTACAGAGAATAGATGTTCATTTGCCTCGCCACTCTGGAGGCTGGGAAGTCCAAGAGCACGGCGCTCACATCTGCCATAGATGGATCATCCCATGCCAAGGAAGTGCCTGAGACAGAGAGCAAGAGAGGGAGGGGCTGAACTTGTCCTTCTATCAGGAACCCACTCCCTTGTTAATGGCATTAATCCAGCTTCCCTCATGTTTACTGGGTACAAACGTTTATCAGTGGAATCCTCACAATTGGGCGTTCAAGAAAATGGGCTTCAATGGGGTAAGATGGTTACCTGAGGACTAAGCAATGTCTTTGGGTTCTCTGGTCAGGTGGAGAAAGAAAGAAAGAAGAGGATGAGGAAGGAAGAATAGAGAGGAAAACAGGAAACTCTGAGAGGTAGGCAGGTCTATGTGGAGAGATGCAAGGTGGCTGCCGGCCCTAATGTCCCTTGTATGAAGTAGACATGGTGCCCTTCCCCAGGCAGCCTCTTGCCAGGACAAATGGCTTGGTGGACACAGCTTGGACTAGATTTTAGCCTCCCTCACCTCCTGCCTGGAGCAGAGAGCAATCTTTCTAACCACATACATAGGGCCTGGAGACAGGGACTCCAGGGCAGTATTAGTTTTCTGTGGCTGTTGCAAAAAACGATCACAAACTTAGTGGCACAAAAACAACACAAATTAATTATCTTAACAGTTCTTGAGGTCAGGAGTCCAAAATAGGTCTCACTGGGTGAAAACCACTATTTTAACTGCATTCCTTTCTGGAGGGCTAGGGTTTCTTGCCTTCCCAACATCTGGAGGCTGCTCATGGTCCCTTCTCCATCTTCAAAGCCAGCAAGCTTGAGCTGAGTCTTCATACCGCCACCACTCTCGTTCCATCTCCTGGTCCCGTCTTTCACTTTTAAGAATCCTTTTGATGACACTGGGCCCACCTGGGTCACCTCGGACACCCTCCATACTTTAAGGTCAGCTGATTAACAACCTTGACCCTCTGCAACTTTAATTTCCCTTTGCCAAGCGACCTAATAAAGCCACTCATTCTGGGGATTAGGGCCTCTTCTGGGGAGGCAGAAACTTAGGCTGAAAATAGGCAAAAGTGTGCATAAATAAATAAATCCTTCACCAAAAAATAAATGCCAAGTGCCAAAAAGCTGCCAGGAGGGTCACAGAAAACTGGGCTCTGTGAAGTTAAAAGTCATTTAAAAAATACTGAATCTTACCTTGGTGGACTAGTCCCTGGGTGACGAGCATGCTCACAAGAGAAAATGGCAGAGCTAGAAGACAAAAACACCCTTCAATATTGGTATTTTAAAGTTTGGTACCACGCCTAGAAGTCAGGGATAATTGCTCTGAGCTTATTTTTCTCTTACCTGCCTTGGCAGTGAGCTTTTATTCATTTGTTACTTTAATTATTTGACAAGTAATTATCAAGTGCAGCATGGGTCATTTTCTTGGGATCTGCCATGATCACTCAACCTGGTGCATAGCATTAATATGACCAAATCTAAACCCCACGCTACTCCACCCCTGACATCCATGTGTGCTGAGTGCTAACATGCATCAGATTCTAATCATTACACACAACACAGGCATCTTGGTGTATATATACACGCTTAGCTAAGAATTTAGGAGTTGCCTTTAGCTATGCTTATATTTTGAGATTTTCAACCCTACTTAAGTGTTAAAAAGTAGTACAATAAGCTCCCATATACCCTTTATCTAGCTTCATTAATTGTGAACATTTTGCGAACCTCGTGACTCTTCTTTGGGTATCTTCTAAGAACAAGAACATTCCCCTACATAATACAATACTATTAGCATGGTCAATATATTTATATTTCCAGGCCAGGCATGGTGGCTCACACATGTAATCCTAGCATTCTGGGAAGCCCAGGTGGGCAGATTGCTTGAGCTCAGGAGTTCGAGACCAGCCTGAGCAAGAGTGGGACCCTGTCACTACTAAAAAAATCAAAAGAAATTAGCTGGACATCTAAGAAAAAAAAAAAATATATATATATATATATTAGCGGGCATGGTGGCGCATGCCTGTAGTCCCAGCTACTTGGGAGGCTGAGGCAGGAGGATCGCTTGAGCCCATGAGTTTGATGTTGCTGTGAGCGAGGCTGACGCCACAGCACTCTAGCCTGGGCAACAGAGAGAGAATCTGTCTCAAAAAAAAAAAAAAAAGGTACTTATATTTCTTGAATACTCAAGAAAAATTGTATTAATTAATAGACAATCTATATTCAAATCTCCCCAATTCGGCCCAATAATGTCCTTCATAACTATGGGTTTTTCCCAATTCAGACCATCAGGGATCATGTGTTACTATTTACACTCTAATCTGCTTTAGTCTGGGACAGTTCCCTGCCTTTTTTTCTTTTTCTTTTCAGACTTTCATGACATTTTGTCCTACAATTTGAATTTGCTTGAAGATCCAAATGAAAGGTTACAAGATGACTACATTCATGTTAAACATGTGTAATGTTTAGCTATGACTTCTAAAACAGGCAATTTAGTTTGGCAAAGGCAGCTTCTAGCTCTGTCAATATGGGTCAAATGACTTGTTCCAAACGCAGAGAGCAGTGATAAACATCTAGCTCTTTCTAGCTCAACCAGGACAGATCAAACAGCAAGCAAATTTTCCACTGGTAGCTACCTGGCTGAGGAGAGGCAAATGGGTCATACTGAAGTGGTAGTCTACTAGGACCCAAATAAACGACTTACTCATGGGTGTCAGAAATCACATAAATTCCCAGAAGAACAATCAATAATTCTATAATGCATATTGAATACCAATTTCTAGAGAGTGTTACTTCTAAAGCAAGTGATACTAAATTTGAATGACTTAAGAAATCAAAATGAGTATTTCAAAGTATGAATCATCCTTACATCGGCAATATTGCAGAATATTGGGACTATATCTTCAGGCTCGATATGCCACTTTCAAATGATGAATCATGAATTTTTTTAATTGTAAGGGACTTTAACACACAGAAAAAGGAAGGGACTCAGCAGAAAAGGTTATTTCGGAGACCGTGGATGAGAAATATTCATGGAGATCATGGAGAAATCATTTTGATCAAATATCATTTTGATATTTTTGACCAAATTGATCAAATTTGATCCAATATCATTTTGATATCATTTTGATCAAATATTCATGGAGATCATTCATGGTGAAATATTTATCATTCATGATCATCAAAAAATTTATCATTTATCATTCATGATCATCAAAAAAAACCACTGCCATTTTTCATTCATCGAACAAATATCTAGTAGGTATTATCTATGTGTCAGGCACCATGCATGCTAGGCTCTGGGGAAAAGTTCCAGATGAACTTGACATTATTTCTGAACTCTATGAAGCTTACAGCCTAGTGGAATTTTGGATGCTCTACTCTTTGGGAGTCAAGAAATCCTAAATAATATTCTTCATAGCTGTTCTTGGTCCCATAAAGGAAAGACTTCTAGGTGCATCACTTTTTGCCAAGTGAGGTCAAACGCTCCTTAATCAGTTATTACCTCTGTCCTGAAAAAGGTCTCAACATGGATTTAAACTCTACACATCCCCAAACATCAACGATGTTCAGGGATTTTATGCAAAGTCCCTGCTTTAAAAAAAAAAAAAAAATCATCATGACAATTCGGATATGATAATCAGGCAGTTGATTGCAGCCAATATAGCGTTCACTAAGATTAAGAGGGGGGGCAGTTACCCCTTTTCCAGAAGCTTTCTTCTTGACACTCCCGCATGATCTTTGCAACCTCCTCTCTGTGAATGTGCAGTTTCGACTTGGGACAGAAGAGCAGGCTCTGCAAGGAAGGTCACACGGTGAGTTGGCTGAGGTCGCCAGGAAAGCATCAGCTTTGCATTCTCTGGAGAAGGGGGGGGTGGGGTGGTGTCTCTTGACTTGTCACCCCAGGCAGGCGTTCAGTGCCAGGGGCCAGCCCATGGCAATGACCCGTTTATGCCATCGATCGCTTTCCAGCGGGGAGTGCTGATGGATTTAGGCAAGGAGAGAGTCCCAGTGGGGCAGTCACAGTGATTCCCCCGTGAGTGTGCCTGGAGCAGGTGTCTGCTCGGGGTTGATGGACAGCGGGGACCACGTTCCCTTTCTCCCCTCCGGGCTTCTGCCCCTGTGCTTCGCTATGTCTGGAATGCTAGTCCCTCCCTTCCTACCTGGGCTTAACACCCAACCCCATGTTGCCTCTTGCATGGAGAGAGAGAGATTCCCCCTGCAGCACAATATTTAAGGCATTGGGCATCACACTCAAAGTATTGCAATACAAGCTTTGCATTTCTATGCGCTTCTGCACGCATTTTTATTTTTATTTATTGTATGTATTTATTTATTTATTTTGAGACAGAGTCTCACTCTGTTGCCCAGGCTAGAGTGAGTGCTGTCGCGTCAGCCTCGCTCACAGCAACCTCAAACTCCTGGGCTCAAGTGATCCTCCTGCCTCAGCCTCCCAAGTAGCTGGGACTACAGGCGTGTGCCACCATGCCCGGCTAATTTTTTCTGTATATATATTAGTTGGCCAATTAATTTGTTTCTATTTATAGTAGAGACGGGGTCTCGCTCTTGCTCAGGCTGGTTTCGAACTCCTGACCTCGAGCAATCTGCCCGCCTCGGCCTCCCAGAGTGCTAGGATTATAGGTGTGAGCTACCGTGCCCGGCCTGCATGCATTTTTAGACTGTGATCTCACCAATGGACTGCCTTTGTTTTTTTTTTTTTTTTTTTTTTTTAAAGACAGAGACTCACTCTGTTGCCTGGACTAGAATGCCATGGCGTCGGCCTAGCTAGCTCACAGCAACCTCAAACTCCTGGGCTCAAGCGATCCTCCTGCCTCAGCCTCCCGAGTAGCTGGGACTACAGGCATGCGCCACCATGCCCGGCTAATTTTTTGTATATATATTTTTAGTTGGTCAATTAATTTATTTCTATTTTTAGTAGAGACGGGGTCTCGCTCAGGCTGGTTTTGAACTCCTGACCTTGAGCAATCTGCCCGCCTCGGCCTCCCAGAGTGCTAGGATGACAGGCGTGAGCCACCGCGCCTGGCCAATCTTTTGTTATATATTGGCTCATTCAATATTTCGTGGTAAAATACACATAACATAATATTTATCATTTTGATCATTTTAAAGTATACAATTCAGAGGCATTGAGTACAGCCACAGTGTTGGGTAACCATCACAGCTACCTAGTTCTAGAACTTTTTCATGAGCCCAAAAGGAAAACCCAACCCATTAAGCAGTCTTCCCCCATTCCCTCCTCCCTCTGGCCCCTGGGCAACCACTAATCTGCTTTCTGTCTCGGTGAATTTACCTAGTCTCGATATTTTTTTTTTTTTTTTTGAGACAGAGTCTCACTTTGTTGCCCAGGCTAGAGTGAGTGCCGTGGCATTAGCCTGGCTCACAGCAACCTCAATCTCTGGGGCTCAGCGATCCTCCTGCCTCAGCCTCCCGAGTAGCTGGGACTACAGGCATGCGCCACCATGCCCGGCTAATTTTTTGTATATATATTTTTAGTTGGTCAATTAATTTATTTCTATTTTTAGTAGAGACGGGGTCTCGCTCAGGCTGGTTTTGAACTCCTGACCTTGAGCAATCCGCCCGCCTTGGCCTCCCAAAGTGCTAGGATTACAGGCGTGAGCCACCACGCCCGGCCCTAGTCTGGATATTTTATATAAGTGGGATCATGCAATGTGTGACATTTTGTGTCTGGCTTCTTTCGCTCTGCATAATGTTTCCAACGGTCATTCACGTGGTAGCATATATTAGTATTCCATTCCTTTTTTATGTCTCAGTAAGATTTCCTCGCATGGATATATCATATTTTGTTAATCCATTCATGTACTGGTGGATATTTTGGGGCTGTTTCCCACCTTTTGGCTATCGGGACAAGAATAGTTATGAACAAGTTATGCACAAGTTTTTGTTTGAACCCCTGTTTTTAATTCTGCTGAGCCTTATTGCAATTCTATGTTTAACTTATTGAGAAATTGTCAACCTATTTTCCACAATGTCTGTACCATTTTACAATTTCATCGATAATATATAAGGGTTTCAATTTCTCTGCATCCCTGCTAACACTTGTTATTTTTTAGTTTTTTTTTTTTTTTTAATTATGGCCATCCTACTGGGTATGAAGTGGTAGCTCATTGAGGTTTTGAGCTGCATGTCCCTAATGATTGCTAATATTGAATATATCGTTCCATTTACTTGTCGGCCATTGGTAGATCTTCTTTGAAGAAGTACTATTCAAGCCCTTTGCCCATTTTATTTTTTATATTTTCTTTTGTTTTTTTTTTTTTTACCTGAAAATAATTCACCAAATGCCTGAGCTTTGCCCATTTTTAACTGGATTGTTTGTCTTTTTGTTGCTGAGTTGTAAGGGTTCTTTGTATATTCTGGATCTTAGACCCTTATCAAATATATATAATTTGCAAATAACTTCCCCAATTCTGTGGTGGTCCCTTCCACTTTGAAAAAGTAAATTTTATCTAGTTTATTTATTATAAAAATCATACTTATGTTTCCTTGTTTGTGTATTATTTAGGTAGGTCCTTTGCCATTTATTTCTCAGAGTTTTAGTGTTTTCCTTGTTGAGTACCACCACTCTTTGGCTTTTGGAGTTTACTTTTCCCTTGCTGATTTTTTTACTGTTCTTTTTTAAACTCCTTTTTTTTTGTTTGTTTTTACAGAACACCTGACAGTCATTTTTTTTCTTCTTTTTTTTTTTGCAGATAAACTCTTTTTGTTTGTAGATGTTGCTTGGATGACGGCCACCGTTTCTTGGGCACGTTCCACGGCCGGGCACTGTGCCAAGCTACTTTACGCGAATGATATCAATGAACACAGGGTGGAGGAAATCCGCAGCACCTTTGCCTGTGGTGTCTACAAGCAAACAAGCAGGCCACCTCCCTCCCCTCTCTTTGTGAGTCCCCACTGCACGGACCCAAAGCTCAGTGAGTCACAGGGTGAGTCGTAGCAGCAGCAAAAGGAGCTGTTTTCACTCTTCACTTCCCTTAGTTCAGGGGTCCCCAAACTTTTTAAACAGGGGGCCAGGTCACTGTCACCCAGACCGTTGGAGAGTGCAGCGCACATTCCACGCATGCGCACTGTGGGCCCGGGACGAGTCGGCTGCTAAGCAGGACAGGCAGCGGTGGCGAAAATACCGGGCAGGCCGGATAAATGTCCTCGGTGGGCCGCATGTGGCCCTTGGGCCGTAGTCTGAGGACCCCTGCCTTAGTTCCTTAGCATAGGCATGTTCATCAGCAAGCATGCCTCTATCTGCCCAGTGCTGATGTTTGCTCTTGCTCCTGGCTGTGGCTGTCACCGAAATAAGGAAGACACCCCCCCACACACACCATACACACACATCTATACACAACCAACTATCACAGTTGCGGGGAGTCCTGCAGTCAAGATCAAAGTTCCAGCAGAGTCTCCCCAAAGCAGCTATAGCCATCCTTTTTTTATAGCCATTAATGTTTGATGGCTCTCCATTTCACAGATGCCACTCGGGTGTCCACGGTCTTCTTCTTGTGACTTGGTATCATTTGTCTGTTTGCCTCTCCTAAACTTTGCTGCTTAAACATTGCCTCCTCCATGCTTCCTTCCTTCCTTCCTTCCTTCCTTCCTTCCTTCCTTCCTTCCTTCCTTCCTTCCTTCCT